CGGGAGCTTCTACATTATTTCAGAACTAGCCGTAGGCGGACTGGTGCCCTGTGGACATCCGTCAATGGTCGAGGTGGGAGAATTGGCTTGGTCGGTACTTAGAAATACTGAAGTGAAGAACTCATTGAAGAGCTCTGCTTTTTTCCCCCACGTCAACCACCAACTGTCCTGATTTGTCCTGCAGGGGCCCTGTGTTGCTCTGAGCTTTCCTTTTGCCCGCTATATACTTGAAGAACTTTTTATTGTCCTTGATTGTTGAAGCCAGCCTGAGCTCAAGCCCCGCCTTGGCCTGTCTGATTCCCTGCAATAGCGCGCCACGGAGAGATAGTCCTCCTTGGTGGCTGCCCCCTGCTTCCGTCGCCTATACGTCTTTCTTTGCCCCCAGACTCCCCTGGAGTTCTCTGTTCAGCCAAGGGGGCTTTTTTGCCCCCTTACCTCCCTTTCTACGTAATGGGAGACTCCTTTTGAGCCCCAAGGATCACTCCCTTGAGATACCTCCAACCCTCCTGGACCCCCATTTGCTCTAGGTTCTTGAGTTGCATCCCCTCACTAACTAGCCTTCTAAGCTTGCTAAAGTTGGCCCTTCTGAAGTCCAACACCTTAGCCCCACTATTTACCCACCCTTCACTGGATAGCGAACTCAACCAAGTGATGGTCACTATCTCCCAGGCTACCATGAACTCGCATGTTGCCCACGAGATCATCCCCTGTTGCTAAGACCAGGTCAAGCAAAGCGCTACCCCTGTTGGGACTGGACACCACCTGGGTTAGGTGGAGGTCCCGCACACAGCGTAAGAACCTCCATGAGCAGCTTGTTTTGGCTGTCTGCTCCTCCCAGCAGATAGCTGGGTAGTTTAGCTCTCCCATGACCACCGCCTCCCTTGCCTGTGTGGCGTCTGCTAGCTGCCCAGAGAGTACATCGTCTAGCTCTTGATCCTGATGAGGAGGCCTGTAGTAGACCCCCACAACCAAGTCCTTTTCCCTGCCCCGCCCCGGATCCTGACCCACAATGCCTCGGTGTTTCCCTCCTCCACCCCCGCCTCGGTGGTGGAAGACATATACTGCTCCTTAACATCGAGTGCTACCCCCCACCTTTTTCCCCCGTCCGTCATGCCTATACAACCTGTACCCCTCTATGCCCACCGCCCAGTCGTGTGTAGAACCCCACCATGTCTGCCTCGGTGGTGGAAGACATATACTGCTCCTTAACATCGAGTGCTACCCCCCACCTTTTTCCCCCGTCCGTCATGCCTATACAACCTGTACCCCTCTATGCCCACCGCCCAGTCGTGTGTAGAACCCCACCATGTCTCGGTTAGTCCAACTAGGTCCTAGTGGGGGCTAGCAAGCAAGACTGCGAGCTCCTCCTGCTTGTTCCCCATACTCCTGGCATTTGTATAAAGACACTTTAGTCCCCCAAAGGGGTCTCTTGGTGCCCCTGTGCCTTGATGGCATGTGTTCCCTTTATTACTTACCTGGTGTGGTCTGGTGCCTTGTTTATGGCTTACCGACCCCTTAATTCTTACCTGGTGCGATCTGGCGTCTTGTTTGTGGTTTACCAACCCTGGGCTCTCTTCGACCACCGGTTCCCCATTTGGGCTGGCCTCTTCATGAGGCATTTCTTTTTAACCCCTCCCCTCATCAAACCTTGGGGGCCAGTCTCTGTGTCCTTTGGGTTCTGCAGGGCCCTAAAAGGGTCAAATGATGGTTGAACTCTTGCTGCAGTCCACCAGCATGAGGCTCCTTACCTAGATGAAGACACTGGTGGGGGCTAAGCAGGTATACGTCTCCAAGCAACTGCAGCATTGCTGGAAGAATTATGGATGACCCCAGATAGGGATGCACTGGTGCTGTGCCAGTTTGGAGGAGGGAAGCACTTCCCACACTGAGCACTGATGTGGCTTCTCCCCAGTGTGGATATGCTGGTCCTCAGCCAGGCTGGAGGACAGAGTGAAGCTCTTACCACACTGAGCACTCATGTTGTAGTATGAATTTTTGCATATTAGTTATTATGTTTAAATGATAATAGTATTGAATTGATCAACCTCTATGATTGCCTAAACACCTAAAACTCCATTTTGTGCTTGTTCCCAGCTTGACATGAGTAGATGAACTTCATATGCCCTGCGTACATGTGTCTCTGTGAGAGGGTGAACGGTGAAAGAATGGTAACTATTTGCATGAAAACAAAAGAAGATTTAACTGATTGTGTAAGCAATAAGGCACCAATGTATAAGTTACCAGACAGTACACAAATTAAGCTAATTAATGGATGGCTAAAGAGCTCGTCTGTAATCAGGTGCAAAGAAGATAGTAAGAAGAAAGAATTTTGCATATCCTGCCATTTGAACTACACAATACTTCAAGGCAAAGATACCGCCTACACAATGCTTCAAGGGAAAAATCAAGACTGAAATATCAACTTGGAGAAAACCAACTTTACTGGAATGACTGAGCATGGAAAAACCCCAAGGCTGAACAAAGACTTGAAATCCCTATAAAAGTGAGATGCAGACAAACCAAGATGGGGACTCCGCTCCCTGCAACCTCGTGGAGCACAGGCATGCACGTCTGTTCTTCCCTCGCTTCTATCACCCTCAACAAGCCTGGACCCAGCCACCCATTGCTAATATTGAGTGACTTCTGCTGGTAACTATAACATCTTACTGGAGTGGTTTGGGCTGTATGTGCGACTATGTCTCTTTGTACGTATGCTGGTGTATGTCTGTTTCTATAACTGGAGTGTCCAAGTTTATGTAATTGCTTCATGTAATTGATAAATCTGGCATTTTTGCCTTATCCCCCTTTATAAGGTCTCGCCCTTAATTTGAGCAATTAAAAATTTTAAGTAACAAAGTCGGTTCACCCGTGTGGATAAGCTGGTGCTGCACCAGGTCGGACGATCGGGTGAAGCTCTTCCCACACTCCGAGCACTGATGTGGCTTCTCCCCGGTGTGGATACGCTGGTGCTTAGCCAGGCTGGAGGACTGACTGAAGCTCTTCCCACACTCCGAGCACTGATGTGGCTTCTGTCCCGTGTGGATGAGCTGGTGCTTCCCCAGGTCGGACAATCGGGTGAAGCTTTTACCACACACGAAGCACTGGTGTGGCTTCTCTCCTGCGTGCATGAGCTCGTGCTGCACCAGGCCGGACGATCGGGTGAAGCTCTTCCCACACTCCAAGCACTGATGTGGCTTCTCTCCCGTGTGGATACGCTGGTGCTTAGCCAGGCTGAACGACTGAGTGAAGCTCTTCCCACACTCCAAGCACTCATATGGCTTCTCTCCGGTGTGGATACGTCGGTGCTTAGCCAGGCTGGAGGACTGAGTGAAGCTCTTCCCACACTCCAAGCACTGATGTGGCTTCTCTCCTGTGTGGATGACCTGGTGCTGTACCAGGTCGGACGATCGGGTGAAGCTCTTCCCACACTCCAAGCACTGGTGTGGCTTCTCTCCTGTGTGGATACGCTGGTGGCCAGCCAGGTTGGAGGAGCGAGTGAAGCTTTTACCACACTCCAAGCACTGATGTGGCTTCTCTCCTGTGTGGATGACCTGGTGCTGTACCAGGTCGGACGATCGGGTGAAGCTCTTCCCGCACTCCAGGCACTGATGTGGCTTCTCTCCTGTGTGGGTACGCTGGTGCTCAGCCAGGCTGGAGAAGCGAGCAAAGCTCTTCCCACACTCCAAGCACCGATGTGGCTTCTTTCCTGTGTGGATATGCTGGTGCTCAGCCAGGTTGGAGGAGCGAACAAAGCTCTTCCCACACTCCAAGCACTGATGTGGCTTCTTTCCTGTGTGGATATGCTGGTGCTCAGCCAGGCTGGAGGAGCGAGAGAAGCTCTTCCCACACTCCAAGCACTGATAGGGCTTCTCCCTCACGTGGATGAGCTGGTGCTTCCCCACGTCAGACGATCGGGTGAAGCTCTTCCCACACTCCAAGCACTGATGTGGCTTCTCCCCGGTGTGGATATGCTGGTGCTCAGCCAGGCTGAAGAAGCGAGTGAAGCTCTTCCCACACTCCAAGCACTGATGTGGCTTCTCCCCGGTGTGGATACGATGGTGCTCAGCCAGGCTGGAGGAGCGAGTGAAGCTCTTACCACACTCCAAGCACCAATGTGGATTCTTGCCTGTGTGAATGAGCTGGTGTTTGGTTAATTTGGAGGACAAGTCGAAACTCTTCCCACACTCTGAGCACTGAGCATGTGACTTCTCCCTTGCGTGCATGCACCAGTGCCTGGCCAGGTTGGAGGGCTGCCTGAAGCTCTTCCCACCCTGGGTGCCGTTGTGCGGCTGGTCCCTACTCTGCACACACTGGTGCTGGCACAGGTCTTGCCAGCATGTGAAGTTCTTCCTGCACTCAGTGCAGTGGTGCGTCTTCCTCCCCAGGTGAATGCGCCGGTGCTGGTTTGGGAAGAAACGATGGAAGAAGGTCTTACCACACATTACACAGTGATACTGGCATTTCCCCCAGTGTCCGTGTAGGTGCTTGTCCAGGTCTGAGGGGCACACAAAGCTCTTCCCCCATTTGGTGTAGGAGTGGGAGAGCTCTCCAGAATGGATCTGGGGGTAAGCACCCGGGGTTGAGAGGCAAGTGAAGCTCTTCCCACACTTGGTGCATAAATAGAGCTTCTCCCCAGTGTACCCTCTCTTGTTAAGTGTGCCCTATCTTGGGCAGTTAAAGGTTTTCCTGACCTTCGAGCAGGGGTGGGCTCTACCCCTGTGCTTGGTAGAGAGCTCCTGCTTCATCTCTGGCACCCTCCCCACTGCCTCGGCTTGGATGCACTGACTCTTTCCAATAGATCTTTAGGTCTCTCGTCTCCAGATATCCTTCCCCGCACCCACAGCTCTTTCTGGGTATGTCCCTTCTCCACTTACACCTAACTGCAGATGGTACCTGGTTCAGTGCTACATTCTTCATCTGCTTCTGGGGTCTTCCCTGATTCTTGGGCCACTGCTCCTTCTCAGGTCTCGGGGAGTCCATCTCACCCAAACTCCCTAGGGAAGTCCATGGTGACTCCACATTTGCAGGCCCTTCCACATGAGCCTCCTCCTTGGGTCCTCTGAGGAGCCAGGCACCTCCTGCATGGGGAAGAGAAACTCCAGATTAATCCCTGCCCTGCTGGCAAGGGGCAAACATGCTTACTCTTTGTGCTGGGATGGGCCTGAGTAGGCCTGGACCTTGCGTTCCCTCAAGGAATCAAGCTCTTTCTTCCAAATCTCATTTGAAGGACTCAGGTGCCTGTACTTACGCCAGGAGCACGGGGATCGAGGAGGAGCTAGCCTTCCTACTCTCCGGTGGGCATTATGATCTAGTAGGGATTACGGAGACCTAGTGGGACTCCTCACACGATTGCAACATAGCCACTACACCCTGCACAGAAGAGACTGAGTAGAGAAGAAAGGCAGAGGTTTAGCTCTCTAGGTGAGGGAGCAGTACACCTCCTTGGAGGCCAAAATCAGCTCCAAAGAAGAGCGGCTCAAAACTCTGGGTCAAACTACAGGGGCGTGGGGGCCATGTTGAGACAGACGTGTACACTACAGACCACTAAACCGGGGGAGGAGCTCCATCTGGAGTTCTCTCGAGAACTGGCAGAGGCCACGCATGCAAGGGACATGGTCGTCATCAGCAACTTCAGTTACCCACGCATCTTTTGGGAGCAACACTCGGCTAAGTTGGATTGGTTGTGCTGCTTCCTGACTTATATGGAAGAGCTCTACCTGACTCAGGACATGCACAGGCCAACCAGAGGTAACACACTCCTAAGCTGGCCAAAGGACATGATCTGGTGAGCAATCTGAACGTAGAGGGTAGCCTGGGCGACACTGACCACAAAACCATCACATTTACTCTCCATCACAAGGCAGGCAAATCAGCTAGCAGGGTTGAAGTTTTGGACTTCAAAAAATGAATTTCAACAGGTTCAGGGCAATAGTAGGGGAAGCGTTGCAGGACCAAAGACCGAAGGTGAAAGGAGTGCATGAAGAGTGGTTGTTCCTCAAGGACACGATCCTCAAAGCACAAAAGACATCCATTCCCATGTGGAAGAAAGGTAGCTGAAGGGCTGGGAAGTCCTCTTGGCTTAGCAGGGATATCATGGTCCTCTTGAAAAAGAATGAGGCATACAAACAATGGAAGCTTGAGCCAGGCCCCAAGGAGAACTACACAACAATGTCCCACGCTTGCAGGGAGAAGATTAGAAAGGCTAAGGCAGCAACTGAAGTTAAACTAGCAACACAAATCACGGACAATAAGAAGTCCTTCTTTAGGTATGTGGGGAACAGGAGGAAAACAAATGGGAGTGTGGGGCCACTGCTTAACAACTCAGGACATCTGGTTACCAGCACTCAGGAGAAAACTCAGCTTCTGATTGACTACCTCACTTCGGTATTTCACCAGACTAAGGGACAAATCATACTAGAAGAGGTTCAGAATGGGCATGGTGGGAGTGACCACCCTCCTACTGCTGATGTTGAGCTGGTGCGTGATCGGTTAAAAAAGTTAGAAATTTATAAGTCAGCAGGACCAAATGAATTTCATTTGAGAGTGCTGAAGGAGCTGGCCGAAGTCATCATGGGACCTCTGGTGAAACACTTCCAAAGCTTGCGGTGCTCAGGGGAAGTTCCTAAAGACTAGAAGAGGGCCAATGTTGTGCCCATCTTCAAGAAGGGGAGGAGAAAGGGTGTGGGCAACTGTAGGCCAATTAGCTTAACTTTTATCCCAGGGAAACTACTAGAAAAATTAGTCAAAGAGTCTATGTGCGATAAGCTTGCAGAAGGTAGGACTCTGAATGATAGCTTCCACGGCCTCATCGTGGGCAGGTCTTGTCTTACCAATCTCATCTCCTCCTACAACCACGTAACTCACCACCTGGATAAGACAGAGGAGGTCGCCATTGTATACCTAGACTTCCAAAAGGCCTTTGATCTGGAATCCCATCATGTTCTCATGGGAAAACTGAAGGATTGTGGGCTCAACTGTACGAGTTAGGTGGGTAGGAAGATGGCTGAGGGGCAGGACTCGGCGAGTCCTAATGAGTGGACCCATGTCACCCTGGTGAGAAGTAGCCAGTGGTGTCCCTCAGGGGTGCGTGCTTGGTCCAGTGCTTTTCAACATCTTTATCAATTATTTGGATGTGGGGGTGAAGAACTCACTAGCCAAGTTCATGGACAATACCAAGTTATGGGGGAGCATGGTCACACTTGAAGATAGGCTGCAGGTACAGGCGGACCTAGACAGGCGGAGAGTTAGGCGGATCAGAACCAGATAAAGTTCAACACTGAGAGGTGTAAACTGCTCCATCTGGGGGCAAATATCCCCAACTTACTTACATGCTCGGTGATGCCAAACTGACTAGCACCATGACTGAAAGGGACCTAGGGGTAATAACAGACCACAGTATGAACACGTGCCATCAGTGCAATGCTCTAGCCAGCATGCCTTAAACAATGCATCCCAAGCAAAGCCAAGCAGGTGATTCTTCTGCTTTACTCAGCCTTGTTGAGACTGCAGCTGGAATACTGCGTCCAGTTCTGGGCACCACACTGCAACAAGGACGCTGTAAAGCGTGAGAGTCCAGGGAAGGGCCACACATATGATCAGAGACTTACATGGCAAGCAACACGAGGAAAGGCTCAGGGACCTGGGACCCTTCAGCATAAAGAAAAAGAAAGCTGAGAGTGGACTCGGTAGTAGCTTACCGCTACATCAGAGGCATACAACAACAGCTCGGTGAGCAACTGTTCACCAGGGCACCCTTGAAGAAAACCAGGAGTAATGGCCAAAAACTCATGGAAGACTGTTTCAGGCTTAACACTAGGAAAAGCGTCTTGACAATTAGGATATCCAGAGAGTGGAATAAACTCCCTCCAGAGGTGGTCCAATCGTCTACCTTGGACATCTTCAAGAGGAGACTGGACAGTAACCTTGCTGAGCTCACCTGACCCCAGTTGTCTTTCCTGCCTAGTGCAGGCGGGCAGGACCCGATGACCTGCGAGGTCACTTCCAGCCCCTAACAATCTATGAATCAATGAATCTATAAACCCAAAGTGCAGGGAGTGAGGGAAAGGCAGGTCCTTGTGGCGGGCTAATGTTCCCTACTCAGGGGAGTTCAGAGTCAGACTCTCAAGGTTTCTGTCCCAGCTGTCAGCCCCATCACCTCGGACCCTGCTGAGACAAGGACATGTGGGTAGGTGTGCACCAATAAAGATTTTTTGAGTTGATACTGATGGCCCATTATTAGTGAGCCATGTCAGCCGATACCAATTTGACTGCCCATATGCAGCCTGGCAGCTTGGAAAACAGCATCCAGCTGGTAAGTCTGCCGGGGGGAATGGGCAGTCAGGGGGGCAGATCAAGGCCCCCGTGGTGAGGGAGGGACTGGGGCTGGGGAGCTGCTACCCCACGGGGGAAGAGTGGGGCAGGGTGCAGGACAGAGCTGTGGCTCGTCGGGGGGTGCAGATAGTGCAGCGGTGCACACCCCAGGGGAGGCATGGGGGGCATGTCCCCTGGACCCGTGGGTGGGGTGAGGTCTGTGGCTGTGGCTCTCTCTTCTAAAAGGAGCAGGGCTGTGCTTCCTGCCTCCATCCAGGGCATGGTCTGGTGCAGGGAATGAGCCCATGGAGCTTTCTTCTGCTGACAAGTTCCAGCTGGCCTGTATGTCACAGGAGTCTGAACTGGGTGTAAGGCCTTGCCATGATCCTGAACCTGGACTCTGCTGAGTCTTAGGCCTTCTGAAACTCAGGGCCCTAGAGAGGAAACAGGAAGGGGGCAATTGTGGTGCAAAACATGGGGGTTTCCTTCCTCCCACAACATGAAAGGTTCCAAATCCCTCCCACGCCATGGAGCCATGTAATACAGCCTGAGACCATGACGAAACACGTCCTGGGGTCCAGGTCAACCTGAGCAGGAGCATCCAGGGGGAGCCCCAGCTTTTCTCTTGTCCAACAGGAATGGTTAAACAGAGCTTCTGTACATCATCTTGATTTCCATGGGGAACTACAAATCCCATCATGTCCTGGGAAAGGGAGTTTCATAGTAGGTAGAGTCAGAAGGGACCTGGGCAGATCATCAAGTCCGACCCCCTGCCATGGCAGGAAAGAATACTGGGATCAAACAACCCTGGCTAGGTGTTCATCCTGCCTCCTTTTAAAGACCCCCAGGGTAGGAGCCAGCACCACTTCCCTTGGAAGTTGGTTCCAGATCCTAGCTGCCCTGACAGTGAAGTAGCGCCTCCTGATACCTAGTCTGAATCTACCCTCTCCCGGCTTGTGACAGGTATTTCTTGTCACTCCTGGCAGTGTTTGGGGGAACAGGGACTCCCCCAATGCCTGCTGGTCCCCCTGACTAGTTTGTAAACGGCCACCAGGTCCCCCTCAGCCTTCTCTTGTGGAGGCTGAACAGGTTCAGGTCCCGTCGCCTCTCCTCGTAGGGCCTGCCCTCCTGCCCCTGACCATGCGAGTGGCCTCCTCTGGACCCTCTCCATGCTGTCCACATCCCTCCTGAAGTGCGGCACCCAGACCTGGACACAGTACTCCAGCTGCGACCTGACCAGTGCCGCATAGAGGGGGAGGATCACCTCCTTAGACCTGCTCGAGATGCATCTGTGGATGCACGACAAGGCCTTCCTGACTGCGTCCCCACACTGCCGGCCCATGTTCATTTTGGCATCAATGATGACTCCAAGATCCTTTTCTGCCTCTGCCCTGACGAGAAGGGAGTTCCCCAGCCTGTAGGTATGCTGCTGGTTCTTCCTCCCCAGGTGCAGTACCTTGCACTTGTCAGTGTTGAAACCTTAGTGTCGTCTGCGAATTTGACTAGGGTGCTTTTTACCCCCTCATCCAAGTCGCTGATAAAGATGTTGAACAGTGCAGGCCCGAGGACCGAGCCCTGGGGGACCCCACTGCCCACAGCCCTCCAGGTCGAATAAGACCCATCCACCACCGCTCTCTGGGTGCAGCCCCCCAGCCAGTTAGTGACCCATCTGACTGTGTAGGCATCGACGCCACAGTCTCCTAGTTTTTTTAATGAGAATGGGGTGACAGAAAGTGTCGAAGGCCTTCCTAAAGTCCAGAAAGATTACGTCCACCTGCAGGGGAGACTCCCTTTCCCTTTGGCCAGGCTAATGCTAAACTTCCCACCTTTGACCTGGGAGGGTGGTCCTAAGGCACTGATCCCCACGCAAGGTGAGGGCTGACATTACTCAACCGCACTGGTCAGCCTCAGTGATGCTCAGAAAACACCTGATGTTGGTTGAGTAGAGGTAGCAAGGTCAGACAACTTATAAATAGAGTCCCTCTATCTTGGGATAGGCAGGCATCTTCTGGTCACTGGATCAAGCTGTGCACCTCTATGATCCTCTGGACGCTGCTGTGAGTAACTTATCTGAATTGTAGCCAGTAACGTAGACCTAAGTGTTCGAGACACGTTCTCAAAGGGCCCACAAGACCCTTATTCTGTTGTGCTCAAGGCTGTTCTCTTTCAAAGCTCCTTTTGCTTAGTATTCCTTCCCCATGCCCCCCCCCCTCCAACAATAAAGCTAACTATCATAGTAAGGCCAGCAGTAAATGTTTGAGAAGGATTGAGCAACCTTTTTGCTCCCTTTGTGCAGCTAAGGGAGGCTACCTTCTATGCTCTGACTAAAGGAAGCACTCCAAGATCTCATGGTGGGTTAAGCACCCTCAAGGTCCATCTATAAGGCCTTTGTACCCTGGGGGGCACAGAGCCTGGACAAAGCCCAGACCCCAGTGGTGCCAGTGGTTCTTCCAGGTTTGCGGGTCTGCTCCAGGAAAGGGGTTGGACAGATGTAGGCATCCCAGGGGAGCCACTCGAAGTGGGGGTTTTGCTTGGCTGCAGTGAGGCTGCCCCCCCACTGGCCCATAACACATGGTATCCGAGGGAAAACAGATATGGGCTGAAAATAAATCAAAAAAGCAAACTCAATTGTCCCGTAATGGCTGTGATTAGGGAGGGAAGAAGGGAATAGTTGCTTGTCCCCATATTGTTGGATATTCAGGAAGGGGGAACATCACCTGCCTGGACACGTTACAGCATAATGTACTGTCTTTCAGGTCAGGACCCTGCAATGGCAGTACAGGGCATGTCAGCAGTTCCCAGATTGCCCTGGCACTCTGGGCATGGAGCATTTCAGAGAGGGGAATTGGGTGGAGGGGACAGCCACAACTCACCTGGCAGCAGCTCCTCTGACCTGGAGATTTCCCCACCATCCTCATCATCACAGACCCACAGCTCCACCAATCCTCGCTGGATGCGGCAGATTAAATCAGGGGTGGGACCTCGATGTCCTGTTTGGGACAGTGGTTAAAGAGCATTTGTGACTGGGTACTGGATGCAGAATAACCAACCACGATTTGGGGAATGGATCCAATGAGCTCAAGGTGTCGTTGAGGAGGAAGCATTTAGGATAAAAGGGAAAGTACTGCAGGGAGAAGTCTTGAAGACATAATGGTCCTTGTCACGCAGGTACGGGAGGAAAGGTCTAGGAAACAAAGCCCCAACCACTGCCTGGTTTAGAAAGGGTATCAAACTGACAGTCACCGAAAATAAGCATGGAGATGCAGTGATCCGTGTTGTACTAGGGAGCAGAAAGATAAAGCTTTTACTGTTTCCAAAGTACCAAAATGAAGAAATATTGGACACACTTATGGATGGATATCATTTATCTCATCAATCCAACCCCAGTTAAAGGAAAGGAAATGATCTTATTCTCAGTGAAGGTTTAAAGTGAGGACCTGTGGCAGTGAAAAGCATCCATGACAGATGGCTGAAACTGAAACTGTTTTCTGGAAGACGAGATAAATCAGCATCACCAGGGCACAGGACAAGACTATTTTATAGATTCCCATTTTCAAAAAAGGGAGGAAGGAGGACCCAGGGAAGTATAGGCCAGTCAGTCTTACCTTGGTCCTGGGTAAGCGTTTTGAGAGAGTTAACCTGGCGCATGTCCGCGAGGGGCCAGCAGAGGAGATTATGCTCAGGGGCGACCAACATCGGTTCATTTGAGGCAGGTCCTGTCAGACCAACCTGGTGACCTTCTACGACCAGGTACAACATCCTTAGATGCAGGGGTCGCAGTGGACGTAGTCTTTCTGGACTTCAGGAAGGCCTTTGACACTGTCTCTCACCTCATTCTCATTAAAAAACGAGGGGATGGTGGCGTCGACACCTACACAGTCAGATGGGTCGCTAACTGGCTGGAGGGCCGCACCCAGAGAGCGGTGGTGGATGGGTCTTACTTGACCTGGAGGGATGTGGGCAGTGGGGTCCCCCAGGGCTCGGTCCTTGAACCCGCACTGTTCAACATCTTCATCAGCAACTTGGACAGGGGGGTGTAAAAAGCACCCTGTTCAAATTCACAGACAACGCTAAGATGTGGGGAGAAGCGGGCACGCTAGAAGGGAGGACTAGGCTGCAATCAGACCTGGACAGGTTACAGGGGTGGGCGGATGAGAACAGGATGGGTTTCAACACTGACAAGTGCAGGGTGCTGCACCTGGGGAGGAAGAGCCAGCAGCACACCTACAGGCTGGGGAACTCCCTTCTCGTCAGTGCAGAGGCAGAAAAGGATCTTGGAGACATTATTGATGCCAAAATGAACATGGGCCGACAGTGTGGAAACGCAGTTAAGAAGGCCAACCACACCTTGTTGTGCATCCACAGATGCATCCAGTGCTGGGCGCCGCACTTCAGGACGGATGTAGACAGCATGGAGGGGGTCCAGAGGAGGCCACCCGCATGGTCAGGGGCAGCAGGGCAGGCCCTATGAGGAGAGGCGACGGGACCTGATATCTAGCCTAAATCAACCCTCTGCCAGCTTGTGACCATTATCCCTTGTCACTCCTGGTAGTGCTCGGGGGAACAGGGACTCCCCCAATGCCTGCTGGTCCCCCTTGACTAGTTTGTAAACTGCCACGAGGTCCCCTCTCAGCCTTCTCTTGTGGAGGCTGAACAGAAGGAGCTACTTCACAGTCAGGGCGTCTAGGATCAGGAACCAACTTCCAAGAGAAGTGGTGCTGGCTCCTATCCTGGGGGTCTTTAAGAAGAGGGTGGATGAACACCTTGCTGGGATCGTTTGACCCCAGTGATCTTTCCTGCCATGGCAGGGGGTCAGATTTGATGATCTGCTCAGGTCCCTTCCAACTCTACCGACTATGAAACTATACTACCGGAAGTTGCAACTGAAACCCGCATCCCATCCAATGGGAGGAACATCCCAGGAATGGAGGTGAGTCCACAGGATGGTAAATACGGCCAGGTGTAAAACAAAGTTCCTCAGAGTCATGGTAACGACAAAAAGAAGGTGAAAAGACACACGCTTCATCGCATGTGAAAGCCCATAATGTAGAAATGGTCTATGTGGTCTTTGTTGAACTACAGAAAGCATTTGAGCACTTCCCTAAGTAAATCCTCTGGGGGAAGCGGAAGGGAAAGAAAGCATCAAAAAAGTAAATGGACCTAGGGAAAGCTACGTACCTCAAGCCTGCACACAAGCAAGAACAAGCCCCTGTATTAGAGATCCTCTGGAAATGAAAAATGGTTTTCACTAGGCCCTGCACCTAGCCCAGTTCTTGTTATCACAGCGATGGTGTCTGAGCTGCAGAGGGATTCTAGGAGAACAAGAAAACTTGAGAATGGCAGAGTGAGCCTGAGAGCACAGGTCTAAATGTAAGTACAGCAAAGCCAGAGTCTCTGGTCCATACAGATGAAGTTGCGAGGAAGGAACGTGGACAGAAGCTTCCAGGGACCCCTTGGTACAAGTACCTGGGTTGCATCACGTGTACATCAGACACTAGAGGAAGACTTGAGGAATTGCAGGAGAGGCTAATAAGACTTCCATTAACTTGTGCTGGGTCATAACCAAAGGAGGAGAAAAAGCATTTAGCTAGCACTGAACTGAGCATGCTAGGACGCTTAAATGTGTATGGACACGACACACGAGTGAAGGAGAAAATTTGAAATATTCCCCAAGGAAGAACTGTTAGTGAATTGATGCACAATGAACTGAAGATGGTATGAACGCCTTGAGAAGGCAAAGGGAGATCATTTTGTCAAGAAACTGCTGGAGATGGGAGCACCAGGAGTTACAAGAATGGGGAAGACACAAGTGAAAGTGGCTGAATGAAATGACGGCAGATCTATCAACATGATGTGCGAGAGGTCTGATCACTGATAGAGCAGTGGGGAGGAAGCAGACTGAAGCCACCAGCCAAAGGTGCATGAGGATGAGACTGCTGAGAAACAGGAAGAAGACAATAAACTTCAGAGTTCACATAGCTCCCGGGAGAAGCAAGAACCAGCACTTTACCCAGGGAGATGAGGGCTTGGAAATTCCTCAGCATCTGGTCCCGGTAAAGCACCTTGTCCTCATCTTCCAGCAGCTCCCACTCCTTCCGCGTGAAATACACAGCCACGTCTTCAAACACCTCCTGGAGCTGCAGTCACAAGCATTACACCATCAGTGTCTCCTCTTCCAGCTGTTTCCAGCCCCCACGGCCCTGTCTGCTATCAGAGTATTACAATTAACTGCAGGCTTTGTCACAACAGCTAAGGGTGCAATATTTCCCGGTCTTCAGCTGACATGAGATGCGGACGCAGCTGTGCACATAGGAGTCCACGTGTCCGCTTTAGCCCAGCTCATCGCGTTCACTTTGTTCAGTCCTTTGATGCAGCCTGGGCAGCAGTTCTAGGGGCAGGGAGCCCCGGCTCCATGCACTCTGACAAGGTTTGCCCACGCCAGCACCCCCCTGGCCATCTGCACTTAGGAGGGAGCTCCTGCTAATGGAGGCAACAAACACACCAAGCTGCATTACCACAGGCTTGATGCTCTTCGCGTCTCTCTGCACCCCAAATTCGTTACACCTCCCCTGGCTGTTCCTGCACTTTGCCCCAGCTGTACTCCCACCCCCAGCTGGACCTAGTGCCCTGCTCACCCCCAAGCTCTCCCTCTGCTTTGCAGGTTTGCTCTGCCGCCTCTGCAGTTGGCCCAGCTCATGTGTCGGGGAGCCCCTCTCCTCCAGGCTCGCTGGGGAAGCCCTGGGCAGCTCCAGCTTTACAGGCTCTTCTCCAGGAGGCTTCTGCTCAGCTCTCCTCAGGGTCCTGGCACCTGCAGGGTGGAGAAAGCACAGGTGAGCCCTGGTGCTGCTGGCACGGGGAAAGCCCTGCTCGTCTCCTGTACTGGCCAAGGACAAAGGCAGACAGAGGCTTCCCTGTGTGGAGAATGAGGAGAAGAAAGACTCCAAGCCCCACAGCTCTTGCTAATAGACTTCTAGGGGCATGAGGATGAAGACGAGACCCAGTAATTCTGTCTCAGGTCGGGGCGGGGATCACACCACCATGTCAGAGCCTGCAGGGACCTCGCTCCCTGGGGAAGAAGCTGAAGGGATGTCAGCACTGTGTCACATCCACATGTTTGGGCAGGGGGGGGTGGAGACGACAAATGCCGGGTCGGGGTTCTCCAGGGCATGTGAAATGCTCTCAGAGTCACTGGGAGAACAACAGCTGATCCTTTGGGTCACTGACTAGTCAAGGGGGACCAGCAGGCATTGGGAGAGTCCCTGTTCCCCCGAGCAATCCCAGGAGTTACAAGAAACAACGGACACAAGCTAGTGGAGGGTAGTTTCAGGCTAGACATTAGGAAGCGGTATTTCACTGTCAGGGGGGCTAAGACCTGGAACCAACTTCCAAGAGAAGTGGTGCTGGCTCCTACCCTGGGGATCTTTAAAAGGAGGCTGGACGAACATCTGGCCGGGGTCGTTTGACCCCAGTACTCTTTCCTGCCAGGGCAGGGGTCGGACTAGATGATCTGCTCAGGTCCCTTCCGACCCGACCAACTATGAAACTATGACCCCATGAAAATGTGTGGAAGAGAGATTACTCTACTGAAGGACGGTGCCTCACGCTGATGGAAAAGGGTCTCCTCTGTTTTGGGGGAGTCTGCAAGACAGAGGCCTGGGTTAACTGTACCTGACCCAGACGGAGACCACTGGGGCATCTCACCTGCACCAGCCCCTTGCGGGGCACGGAGGGCTCATGGAGGCACGAGAAAGGGACGAGCGAACACTGGCTGCTGGGACACGAATAAGGTCACTGACTGTTATTGTGGCAGCAGGACAAGGTCCAAGCAAGACGAAGCCTCTCTCTGCTGGGTGCTGCACAGTCACGGAGAAGGATCAGGTGCCCCAGCCTGGGAGACACCCACCCACAGGGACCACAGCTCTGCCCCCCCAGCCACAGGGTGACAAATACTGTAGCCCTGTCCTGTGCAGGGAGAGACATTCGACCCGCTCCCCCGTGTGCAGGACGGCCTCGCTGGCACCCAGACCCACGCCCAGGCCTCCACCCTGTACCTCACCTGACTCCTGGCGGGGCAGGGGCTCCTCCTTGGGGGGACAGGGGGGCTGGTCCCGAGGCCCCAGGGTTTCCCTCTGTCCTGCCTCCTCCAATGGCCTGTCGGCACCACGGGTCTGTGGCAGCTCCAGCCAGGCATTGCCAGGCTCCCGCCGTGGCCCCATGGGCTGCATCTCATCTGCGCACACGTCCTTAACCTTCACCCTCACTGTGACCTGGGGACAAGATAAATACATCACTGGGGAGCAGGGACGTGGGAGCGACGGGGCGGGGAGGGAACATCCCCAAAACACTTAGATGTAGGGACAGCAGCATTGATGACCAGGGTGAAACAAATGCTTTAAGCCGGAGATGGTCACCTTCCCCCTGGCCCAGCTGAATCCCCTCGGCCAGGGCCACGGCCTGGGCGCAGGTCTCCACGCTGCACCCGCACTCCCAGCTCTGCATCCCCGGGGACAGGATGGCCAGGAACTGCTCCAGCACCACCAGCTCCAGCACCTGCTCCTTGCTGCGGCGCTGGGGCTCCAGCCAGCCACGGCAGACCTCCCGCGGCCCCTTGGATTTTAGGTAGAAGAGACCCTGGAAGCGCTGGCATCTCTGGGGTGGGGAGGTCATCCCCGGTGCCAGCTGTGCAGTCTCCGACCACCTCAGGGAGACCCCTGCTCCATCCCAGTCTAGGTGAGACGAGGTCTGCCCAGCCTTGACCCCAGACTGTCCCTACTCAGAACAGCCTCAGGGTCATCCTCGCTTCCTTTCTGCTCCGCATAGGCCGTGAGGAGCGGACTGGCTCCACAATCGCCAAGCATAGCCCCCTCCCAGCCTCACACCTGCCCCGGCCCCCACCAGGCCCTGCAGCCCCCGCCCGGCACCAGTCCCTTCTGCACAGTCCCTCCAGTGCCCCCCGGCGCTACACCCCGACCCCCCACCCCCATCCAGGGCACCTGCAGGGCACACAGCCCCCACCACCACCCCCATGGGCCAGGGCTTCTCCCGCACCCCGGCCGTGTGTCAGGCCCAGAGCACCGCCCAGGCGGGACTTGGCTCCAGTCCATAAGGATGAACCATGGTTCATAAGGATAACGACGGCACTTAGCTGAGGATTTTACATTTAGTCTTCCTCTCCCACTGCCTTTACCTATACCTTGTCCTGACATCTATCCGCCCCTTCCACCACTTTTATTTGAACAAGTGACCTGGTCTATTGCTGTCACTCCTGGAGCTCTCTCTCTCTTAATGGTTACGGTACAAGGAGCCGCACGCAGTGTTATTGGCTGGGGTTTGTGTCTTTAATGTGCCAGTGTGGTAGGATGTCCATCATCCCAGATACCCAATCTGTTTGCATACATTGGCTACATAGCTGCTGCACAATCCTGTAAGTTTTCCACTGGAAACTGCGTATTGTTTAGAACTCTATTCCCTCCCCCAGCAACTACAACTCTTGCCGTTATCTGCACAAGTTCCCAACAAGTAAAAAACATTTTAGGGTCCTCATCTGATCTGTGTGTTAGGGTAGCCGCTTGAGCTAGTCAATATTGGCACCCCATAGCACCGCCCAGGTGTTTGAACAATGCCAATACAGTGGGAACCTGGGTTAATGTACTTAAGTCTCTATACAATACCCTGGAGATCTGAACTCGCACAAGCCGACATCACGCGCTGCCCTAAAATTGTAGCTAGTGCCCTTAAATCTGTGGCTGTCAAAGGGATGACAGTAGTGGTGGCTTGGGAACCAGCGACTGGCCCCTCGTCCTGTTCGTCAGGCACAGGTCCTCTAGTTTCAGTGGTGGAACAGCTTTATCCCATGCATTGACACTTTAATTGTATTCAATAAACCTGGTTCCAAATCCAGGGTGTCCATTGGGATGTCCCCAGTGGTAACAGCAGCAACCTGCCTGTTTGCAAATCCCAATTTAAGTCTTGGATGATTAATTATGGCCTTGCACTGAGTGTGATTTGCCGGTGCCTGTCCTTGCTTTAGTGTTAACTTCTTTACCATTCCTTGTAGGAATTGGACCTTTGGTTCTAGTTTTGTCTTTTCCTCAGCCACTGTTTTAAGATTTTTATTTTCCAGCGCAGTTTATTTAAAACATTATGAAGGGTTTGCAGCTGTGAGTGTGTGCATCCTGCTGCTATTTTTAAAGTATCCAATTCGCGTGTAATCTGTGAGAGCTGTTTCCCTCTCTGCTCGAGTCCCTCCTCACAGTTAGTCAGACAGAGGAAAAGATTTTTAGTAGCTTCTTATAAAAGCCACATAGCAGCAGCTTCCTTCTTTGTGGACTGGGGTGGTATATTATATATCTGCATATAGTTTCTGAATTTATATCTTATGCCTGCAATGGTGTGGGCATCTGATACTGCCTGCTCAGTCCAAGGACTATGCCCAAACCACAGCTTTAAAAGACTTGCATCCTGCAGATACGTAGGCAGCGGATCTTCAACATCTGCCTCACTCCTTATTGTTTTTCTTTTAAACATCTTAACTCAAGTTCCCAATCCTGCGTCTACTTATTATAGTTACCGTTTATTATTTCTTAAAGCTAGTATCCTAGTCCGTAACATGTGCCAAAAGTCTGTTTTTTTAATATAACAGAGTCTCAAGACAAAAATCCAAACCAAAGCAATGGACCCCTCTATAGGCAGCCTGGACCTCCACCTACTCATGAAGTGAGCTTCTGATTGTCCACAACCCACAGGTGGGCTTTCTATTTCTGTAATGTGGCCGGTCTAACCCGAGACTACTATAACCGGCACTTCTACCACCAGTCGGTGTGCACACTTTTAGACAGAGACCAATAAACATTCGGACGAGACTTATGACATAAGACCCACTAATAACCACAACAGAGAGCACAGAGCTGATCAACAACCGCAGCATATAACCTTGTTCACCCCCACACGCATTCTCCACCAAAACGTTACCTTGAAATACCAATTGCTAAATCAAAAAGCGAGACTTTATAAAGGGGGATAAGGCAAGGTGCTGTGTTTATTGATTACATGAGTCAGACGTAGAGGTTTGGACACACGATTCATACAAACACACACAAATCATCATACACATCATTACATGCGGGCATACGCACACAAAACAACCACTCCACCCGCACACACACCAGACACAGTTACCAGCAACAGAGGCTCAGTATCAGCCCAGGGTGGCCAGCTCCAGGCTTATCGAGTAGACGATGAAGTTTTGAAGATTGCAGCGTGGAGCGGGGTGAACAGACGCGTCCGTGCTCCCGTGAAACAGCAGTAGAGAAGAGACTCACCCAACCCGGCATTGTGCGACTCCTCCTTTTATAGGGTTTACCAGTCTTTGTTCAGCATTTTGGGGGTTTTCCATGCTTAGCCTGCGTTTCAACAGTTGTTTTGCATCCATCTTCTGCTTATCTCAGCTCAAGGTCGTAAAACTGGGTCTCAGCCTTGAAGCGTCCTTGTTGGCCACACGGCAGCACTCCTTCCCTCACTATCTCCTTTGTGCCCTCGGCTTCAAAGGGGTTCTTTGGCCGTCCATTAATTAGCGTACTGGCTGCTCATTTACACATCTGGCGCCTTGGTGCTTACACAAACAGCTACTTCTGCTCTCCCTGTTCCTCCTCAAAACTGCCGTTCGCCCCTTCACCCACACCTGCCGTACGCGCAGCGCAGCACAGCACACACAGCGCAGCACGGCACGCACAGCGCACGGCTACTGAACTCACGCAAGAGTCACTACACGATGTAGTGCAGCAGGTACCCCTTAAAACACAGGGATCAAGTTACTGAGCTGCATTAAAGCACACCGAGCTAAATTCAATCCAGTTATTTTAGTCAACTGCATGCTACACTTCCCCCTGGCCCAGCTGCATCCCCTCGGCCGGGGCCACGGCCTGGGCGCAGGTCTGCACGCTGCGCCCCCATGCCCGGGGCAGGATGGCCAGGAGCGGCTCCAGC